TTTAACGCTCAATGCGTATTTATGCTCATTTCTTCGATTATATTTTATATTTTATTGCAATACCTTTCGTGGACCTTTCATAGCATCGTAATGTTTATTTACTTTGCACGATAGGTAGCCGTTTTGACAGTTCAATAGGTAGACTTGGCTTCACTCTTGGCGTGACTCATTATACACCGACTCTAACTCTTTCTGGCGAAAAATTCGCCCAGACATACCGCCGAAAAATGAGGTGTCCGCTTTCTTTTATTCGTTAATAAAATAAAATTCCACAGTGAAACAACGACAAGAGAAATTTCATAACACATAACCTTACCTAGTGCGTTTTTTTTTATTGTGCATTTCTCACCCAACTAAACTACTTTTTCGGTAGCTTTCCAAATGGCGGAAATGGTCGTAAAACTGCGCTTTTGCATTGCATCGACTTGAGGTGTTCGGCGCACTTTTTCCTTGCCTCGTAAGGAACGCTAAAGTGACAAGACGTCCCGGATTCGCCTTCCTGTCCCGCATTACCAAATGTCCTGCAAAACGTTCCACATTATCAAGTGTCCCGGAAATTGCCTAGCGTTCGAAAAGTTGCTTTTGGTTTTTCGTTAGTGTATTTTTGGTTGTTTTTGATTCCATCATTTCTACGGGCTTCTTCAACGTAGTCCTAAATCCTGGTTTCGGTTTATTTAGAACTATAAAAAACCACAACACCGGTGTTGTAAATTTTGATTTATGCCAGATATATTGTGCATTATATTGAACCTGGTATATGCTGGAAAATCCTTTGAAGTACTTGAAGGTACTATGACGTTTTGAGAACTTCTCTAAAATGCTGGGATATTATTGTGAGATTTTTCGTATTCTCTACAATTCTGGGAGCTTCTTTTGATTTTTAGCAGCTTTTGAGAAGCTTGGTGTTCTTATATTAAGTATTTGGACTAATTGAACTAGAACTTCAATCCGAAAAACAAAATTGATGTGCAAGGAAACTATCTGAAGTTCTGGGAAATAATTTAAAGTTCTATGAACTTTTCCTGAATTCTCACATTTTCTAAAGGAGCATTCTTCTAGCGTAGCATTTTTTAATAATTCAAGACCCCCTACCCCTTCGTCCTTAAAATCAATAAACTTATCTGAAGCTCAAAGAGCTTTTTGAACTTCTGACATATTCTGCCAAGTTCCTCAAACTTCCTTGATGTTCTGCGATATTGAATTGAATGAAAAAAACTATCTTTAGTTAGTTTGGTCTTGAAATATTTTTTTCTTTGGAATTCTTTGAGATTCAGGGAACTTTTTTATATGCTTTGAACATTATTGAAATTATAAAAAAATTCCAAAGGTTTAAAAAAAAGTTTAGGCTTCTTCGAAACGCTATCAGATTCTAAAAGTTGTTTAATTTTTTTAGAAGCTGGGAGAAATTCTCTCAATATATAAAGTTGTCTGAAATTCTTAAACTTTCTCTGATGTTCTAGGATCTTCTATGAAACTTTTAAGCTTCTTTAAAATTCTGTAAAATTCATTAGTTTTTAGGACTTCTCTGAAATTTGAGGAAAATCTTTAAAATTTTCAAAATTTACCTGAAGTTCTTTAAAACTTTCTGAAAACTTATGATCTTCTCTTAAGGCTTTGAGTTAAGATAACATGCTGGAGGATTCTCAATAAACCCTTCAAATTGCTCTTAACTTTTGAGATTTTTTTTAAACTATATATAGTTGAAATAAACTGACGCAAGGTTCTTAAATAATTTTGAAGTTCTCCCAATGATCTTCTCTGAACTTCATTAATATCTATGGAACTTCTTGAAGTGATGAGTACTTCTATAAAGTTCTGAGGGCTTCCCTCTAAAATTGTCGTCTAAGAAATAAGAACATTTATAAAGCTATTAAATAATTTTAATAAATTAATTTCACATAATAAAGGATTATTCATCTTCTCAGTGAGAAAAATATAAGTGAGTTTATATAGTAATATAATTGGTTAAGTATAACTAAACTGTTTTGTTTTTTTTTGAGAAAAACTAATTGTTGCACCAAAATAAAATATCTTTAGAATACGGGGATGTTGTTGTACGGTAGCGACACCTACTTGAGTTAAGAGAAGAATCAGAAATATGTAAAAAAAGTGAGTTGCACGAAAAGACCTGTTTTCTTTTCAATAGTTTGAGTTCATATTAATAGTTTTTATGTGTTTTTTAGGTGAAGTGGCTATGTTCAACCTTTTTCATGTATAAAATCAATGATTCCATGGAGCATTGTTGAATAACGAGGCGATTTGTGAATCGATGATTTTTGTGTGTTTAATTGTGTGTCCAAACTTCAATTTTTAGAAAATTATACAAAAACAAGGATATGGCTGAAATAGAGCTGGCTCAAGCCATGCTTGAAGGTGTCGAGTCAGTGCGCAAAAAGCAAGCATCGCAAAAACGAGCAGCTGACAGCATGGAGGAAATAGTCAACAAGAAGAAAGCAACTGTTATAACTAACTACTTCGGAAAGAAGTAGTTCTAATTTCCCTATTTTGGATCCTCTATTAGCTGTCACTAGATTAATGTATTATTCATTGTTGATTTTAAACTGTTTATTAATAAGGTGAACGTTAACCTGATACTTTAACTAGTCAAATATATTGGTTCCATGCAATCTGCATTCAAAGTTGAAGTCATCATTACGTTTTTGTGGACCACTCAGTGTTCGCTGAAGGATTGTTTACGTTCTGATGATGGATGATAACAAACTTTTACTGGGAAACAAGGAGAAATTCATGCTAATCAAAGAATCTAATCTCGGCACAGAAGCACAAGATAAGGTTGAATCACATTAAATTCAACCCAGAAATAGACATTCATTAAAACAAGTGGTTCACTATGGGATGCTGAAAGCTTTAGGGTTTTAATTTGGAACATCTGACTATATGTTAGATTTTGCCGTGCTTCCGTAATTGGTAATTTTCCGTTTGATTTAATCAATATTTTTCATAAAATAGATACTGAAGAGTTGTGAAAGGAAATGGATTTTACCGGATTAGCGCTCCAGTTTTTCTGACCAATTACAATAATACCAATAGTGCACTAAACGAAGCGGTCAAATTTAATAAGAGGCGTAATGCATTAGGAGATGCCATTAGATAACGAATAGTATTGCGAACTCAAAGCTGACAAAAACTCATATGGGACTGATGTGCAGCCCTGCCTGTAAGAAAACTGACAACATATAAGTGCTTGTATATAATACCAACCGAGGGTCACAGTCTCGCCATTCAACGCTCAAAGCTTGAGGGTATTTGTTCAAATGAAATACTATATGGATGCGCAGGAAAGCTAGTAGAATTACCAGTCTTCTTGGTACGTTGTGTTCCATCGAACAGCTGAAATTTAGATGTGTTTTCCTGCAGATGAAGACGGATTATATAGGTTGTTGTATTATAAAACACGCAAAAAACCATACAATAGCGATTGTTTTTATTAACAATAATTATAATGAATTTTCATAGCATAATGTTTAAAATGTAACACACATTTTGGGCAACAATTATGAATTGGAATAGGTTTACTGGAAAAAGGATTTATCTTGAAAATTGAACAAAATGAAAGAGTAGCCAGCAGCAGGCTAGTGTAAAAATCAATCACTCATGTCTGTTTACAACAGATACCGATCATACAAGAACAAATACTACTAATATTGACAAAATGCTTAAAATCTTCTTATACATTTTTAAATTGGAGCTCAATAAGTTCTACTTGGGTCTCCTTTTTTGGTCACTTTTTGTGTCTTAAAAGTCACTTAATGGTCACTTTTTTACTCATTTTAGTCACTTAATGGTCCCTTTTTTACTCATTTTAGTCACTAAAATCACTATTTTTGGATATATTTGGTGCTATCAGCCCTGGATTATATTTTAGAATTTTGAAGAGTAATTTTCCACCTTTAGTGATTATGTGCCTCTGCTTATTTAATGCAAATTGCAAAACTCGACACAAGCCATGCTCTGAGTTTGTCCGGCAGTTTTGACCGAATCTTGGTCAACTTTACCCTGATTTGGAGTTAATTAAAGAGCCTGAATTTATAAAGAGACGACATGTCAAAATTGGAACAATCAATTGTCTGTCAAAGTCATAGGAAAAGCCATTCCAATCGAGCAGAAGACCTGTCAAATGGATAAGATGTCGCCTCTTTATAAATTCAGGCTCTTTAGAGTTAATGATCCTAGCCTTAAGTTGGTTGGCTAGATTCCAACATGACAGTTCACGCCCAAAATGTTACAGTTTTTATTGAGTTGATTTTAAAAATCGAAATCAAACCTGATTTGAAAACCTATGGTAACGAGTTTTCTATTACATCCATGAGCAATTTTAAACGATGCATAGCCACGCTCTTTCCATTTCCTGGCCTTGTCAAATTCCGTTTTAATTAAAAGCACAGCTCAATCCTTTCGTTGGCTGTAAGTGTCAGCACAACAAGTACCTGCTCTGCTATTATCGTCAATTATTTTCCCATGAATAGTGAAGAAAACGTTTAACGGAACAAACAAAAAAAGCTAAAGAAACTCTTTCTTTGTTGACGTCGGGAAAATATGAAAAATCTGTACGCATAAAAGTTTACAATTAATTACAGCAAGGGTGCGTGCATTGCCCGGTTCTGCAGCGCTGGAAAACTTTACTCATTAAACTTATTTATTACCGGAACACTGGGAAATAGCAGCAGTAGGTAGATAACAACAGAAAATCGCATTTTAGGTCTGTAGGCTTCTGGTTCCTCGATTAAACCACTGTAGCTCCTTCCTATGCATGGAATGAGCCGAATAAAAATTGAAATTCATTCGACTTTGAAGTTCGCTGTCCAGTTCCGCATCGAAAGTCAGCCTCAAGTTGATAGAACTACATTTTCAGCTGTTTAAATTTGCATTCAATTTTTTTTTACTCGGGAGCCGCGTGGAAATTTATCGTGACTTTTCAGCCCTTTTCAGTCATATTTATGGAGCTCAAGTTTGGATTTATGTTGTTAAAGTGGGCTTACCGGTGAAGTCCGTTTGGAAGGGTGAGTCCTCCGGTTGAAACTCCGGTTCGCCGGTCATGTTGATGAAAGCAATTACCACACTCACCGGTGTGCCTGACAGGTCTCCGCCGTCCCGTGCGTTGACAATAACCTAAAACGAAAGGAAACCCCCCAGAAGGGTGACAAGGGGATTTAGAGTGTTTGACACTTTCGATTATCATTGAATATGATTTGAAAAAAAAAACGTGTTGGGAGTGGAAAACGGATGCGGAACGACTTTCAATTTGCAATGGTTCCTGGTCTGGAACCGAACGTGATATTGCTTCCCGGAGGTATTTTCCAGTGGGATGGAGAAAAATTGCGGTGGGAATAGGGAACGAAAATCGTTTCTCGATAGTTCATGGTGGTGGCAGTAGAGTGGGAGCTTTTAGGTCAGGTCACGATTTGTGGCAATATTTGAGCTAGATTCCAGAATATGTGGAACAGCTTTGCATTGTAGCCTGCGTGTTACAATTTGTTCTGTTTTGAGTAGTTTTGTCGCCGAGTGTAATTTAGCCGTGTTTCGCACCCGCGTGTGTCGTGTTTGTTTTGTTTTGTTTTTGTTGTCATTTCACGGTCGGCGACATACTCAGTACTATCAACCGGTGGAAACTAACGATTTTAAATTGGCTCACTACTTGACTAGCCTATTGGTCCCAAGCAAATCGATTAACGTAGCCCATTCTAATCGAAATTCTAGTATTACACTATGTTTGTTTTGATTCGCTATGAAAGTTTGACAGATAAAATGCGGGGTTTGTGAATTTTCCTATGTTTCGAGGCGTGCATTGATAAGCTTGGGACTGAAAATAGTATCAGAGCTAAGCCAAAAAGTTGAGCTCATTTCTTCGGGACCTGAATATAGCGACTATAGTTAAACCTGGAGGGGGGAGGTGACTGTCAAATACGAACAATCGTCGCCTTCCTCGCATAACTGGACCGTTACATATCATATAAGTTAGCATTCTAAATCGTGTAAAGTTCTGAGACATTTCATGAAAGGTTGCAAATATTGTATACAAAAGCCAATCTTTGCAAACAACATTGCTTACAAGTTGCTCCTTTGCGTGAAATGAATTACAAGTTTACGTGAATGTTTACGTGATGTAAACACACAATTTTTATTCAGAATGTTCAGAATGCTGTGTGGTTCCACACGACAACAAAGCCATAAGCAACGATGGTTTGTTGATATTTGGAACCAAATTTACATATCTCGATAAACATTTCAAATGGTCTTATCTGCTTTGATCGATTCTCTTCATCGAATTTCTCTTTTCATAACCACTGCTATGCAAACAGATTTCTCGATGAACATTTCAAATGGTCCTATCTGCTTTGATCGATTCTCTTCATCGACTTTCTCTTTTCATAACCACTGCTATGCAAACAGATTTCGCGCTAATTCTACCACATAGTTTGATAAAGGAGGTTCTTATCTAGCGTCCAAAACGTCAAATACAACAGGGAAAGGTTTTGCAGCTGAGTTATTAACGAAAGAGAAAGTCGATGAAGAGAATCGATCAAAGCAGATAGGACCATTTGAAATGTTCATCGAGATTTCTTATCTAGCGTCCAAAACGTCAAATACAACAAGCAAAGGTTTTGCAGTTGAGTTATTGACGAAAGAGAAAGTCGATGAAGAGAATCGATCAATGCAGATAGGTCCTTTTGACATGATTATCTATAATATGGAAAATCAAAAAGCGTTAAGAGGTGAGGCCCAGTAAATTTATCGTCTCTTTCGTTCTCCGGCTGATTAAATGGATGCCGGAGTTTGACGTCACACTCCTTCAACCGTTTAAACAGCGGGAGAACGAAAGAGATGACAAACTCAATGAGCCTTACACATTTATAGTACGTTCAGACCTCGGTTCAGACTACAGAGTCATACACTCAAAAAATTACACACGTCATCATCATGTGTCTCACACTCAATTTTGCGCATATTGTGAAACATATCCATTTCATGTGTGAATCTTATGCTATGAACCATGCCTGAACACTATGGATTTGAATTGTGACACACTTGGATTCTATGTGCCTCATATGGTGATATCAATAGCTTTGCACACCATAGTTCAATATTCTACTTTATCGAATTTTACTTTACCGACTCTAAAAATGAATCGACAAATATATATAAACAAAACTGCCAGAGGCCAGAGCTTTCACATATATTTTTAATGGGTCTGATTTGGGATTCGATCATGGACTGTTGGGGTATGCTGCTGCCGGAGTCTTCGTTCGATCTCACTGTGCCACGGTTGTTCTCATATATGAGGCAGGTTGATAGGATAAAGTCACAACTCTTGTTATCGATGTTTACCTTTCTGAGCAAGCAATTCATATCGTATTGAAATGCAAAACACTTTAAATCCATCTGTTTTGAACAGTAGCGTGATTCAATGTGCAATACACTTGAATAGATAGTGAAAGATTTTCAACATTTCAAAGTTTGAAACACTATAAATTAACGTGTATAACACATTGAACCAAGGTGAAATACACTTAAAGTAAATGTGATTGTGCATTTAGAAAATCAAGTGTTTAAACACTTCGATCAAACGTGTGAATTTTTTTGAGTGTAACATGTTATCGCGCTATCTTGATAGTGGTTTCTGTGTTGCAATTATTTGACAAACGTTATAACATGTTATAACTCTCCAGTCTGTACAGCGTTTTACATCTCATTGATGGATTTTCAGTAGGCCGATTTGACTGCACATCCCGTCCCTACGTTAAACCCGAGGCTTTAACAGTGTATAGGAAGTTTCTGTCGAACATTTCCATTCCAACGAGTCCAAACATAGAAAATAGACGGAACAGCCAACCGTAAACAATGACCTTAAGCCAATGGTTCTAGCGAATAAAACCAAAGGCTACTCTGTGATTCGTTAGAAAATTACGTTTAAGGTGCGATCCAGCGACTGCCGCTTCAAGTTTTGTTGTTTCGGAAGAAGTTTTGTTTTGTATGTTTTCCGGTAGCTAATAATTATACTTAGAAAAATGTGAAGTATCATCAGAGCAAGGGCTTCCAGATCGTATCACCTTAAAGCTATTGTTTACATTTGCTTGTTCTGCCAATTTCCCAATATAAGTAATGATATGGCATATCACATCGTACTTCCACACTGTTGTTAATACTTCATACAATTATTGAATTGATCTTTTACCACTCTTTCCAATTTAGTTCAGCCGAAGTGCTCAAATTGACACACTTAAGGCCCCCGTCTGGAAGTATTATTGATATTATTCCCTTGCTGGGATTTTTTAGAACATCTGGGAAAACCCGCAAAAATGAGCTAGAAAAATAAGCTAATCGAAAAATCGAAGCACACTACGTTCTAGCATAACTTTCTGGCAACATGATAGTTGGAAAATTTTTGGGAAAATCCAACCCACAAAAAAACTGGGTTGTTTTTCCGACATGAAGACCACCCAATTCCGGCCACGTGATTGCATAGGTGTAGACACCATGTTCTATCTTTCCCCTCTGATAGCTCGTGATCTTTATTCTAAAGTACCAGATAATTATATACTATAAGATTCGTAAGAATGTGAGGAATCTTTTGGTGTACTCCAAAGTACAATTTTCCGATTTTCCTCGCATCGTTTTACCATTTTCATTTCATGCATACCATTTTCCCGTTGTACCGGTACATGGCGAACAAGGCATGGGAAAGAAAAAAACTGTACTAAACACGAATACGCGCGAGGAGCTTTCGGCTCACATGATTTCTGCCGACGGCTGACTGCAGCATGCGAATAGTGGTGTCGTATATTTAGCAAAAAATAATTCAAGTTGTTGATAATGAAAAAGGTCAGCAAGAAATAAAATGCCTTTCCCTACATCCTCCATTTCGTCCTGAATGACAATGGGTCCAAATATACACTGGGAAACATAGTGTTCTCTGCAGGTCGATGAAACTAACTAGTTTACTAGTGTTTTCTTTGTTTGGAGTAAACATATAAATATTGTTTGGAAAGCAATATAAGCAATAAGCAAAATATCCTCCCACTTTGATATTGGCTATATAATCTACACAGCAGGTATTATCGATTTCCGTATCTAAGAATCACATTCAAAACTTCATATGGTATAATTTCCAATACCTCAAGAAGCTCCGCGATGCGGATAGAGTCACTATTGATGGTGTGATTTGTTGTAAGATGTAGATCTCACCGAGCTAATTCAATTAATAATTACGATATTACAGCCAATAATGACAAGACTTTGCTATGATGTATTCAGAAACTTTTAATAACTTATATCAGCAGAAAAAAAATGCATCAGTTAGTTGCAACATAGGGAATTGCTTTCTTCCAAATGACACTATCATTTATTGATAATGTGAAAACGTGATAATTATATACTATACTCAACTGTTGTAAAAAATTAATGTTTCGTTCAGAGTTGGTCACAGTTTAGTTAATCCACTAGGAACATTTTCGATAGCGATTATCGCTTCCGCTAATTTTTTAACCGATATAAAAAATCAAAGCAACCTGTATTTTGAGACATTCATGATTATAATTTATAAATTTGACACTAAAAGACTCCTGAAATAAGGTTGTAATGAAACTGGTTAGCAACTATCGATTATCGTTACCTCCCGATAATCACATTATTATTTTATTGTTTAGCGATTATCTAATTATACTGACGCATTATCTGTAATAGAAGCAATAGTAATAGTTTTTGGTTTGTTTGACAAACCTCGGTAACTTTATATAGATAGTGTAACAGTCAACTTCCGGCAGATATGAAAAGCGACAATTACTTGCGACTACGATACATATCATTCTCATGAGAAGTGATCATCCCTACTTTCAGAAGAAAGAAATATTTATTTGCTTCGCGAAGAACGTCGTCAGCTTAGCGTACACTACTGTTCATAAATTTGGGGTTCCCTAGATGTTTCACTATCATGTATCTCGCATAATATTTCTCAAAATATCATAATATCAGGCATAACATTTGATAACGGCACAAAAGCATTTGTAAACAAACTTTCTAAGGCCCTTTACACGCGAACCAAAGTACGCCCACGCAAACCAATACCACTTTCGGAAAGGTGATAGTGGCCCCTATATGATGATGCTGTTTGT